TTTATTCTTTTTGTAAATATTAAATTAAGTACTATTTAGGCTTTTGAAAAGTTAAAAAAAAAATACACTTTGTGACAAAATACAGTCATTAATTGTTTCTGTAAAATTAAACTCGAACTTTTTTGATTTGAATGTGAAATAACAAAGTTATTGTCAATCAAAAAAACCAATGCATCATTGTTATAAATATGATTTGTAGCTACAAACAATTTACTAGGGTCTAGGGTCTTCATTGGTTGTAAAGTTTAGAAGTGAAATTTAAATATTACTTTTCCAAATCCATACTTCACATTCGTCCACACTTTGGATAACTAATCCAAGAATATGTATATGAGCATGCATATGCATGTGTGTGTACGTATGTACTCATATGTATATGTATGAGTGTGTATGTATGTACACTTAATCCAATTAAGTTAATTTTAAAAGTTATTAATTAATTTAATCTTTCTGAAAGTATCAAAACTTAACAGGTTTGACACTGAGTTTGTATTAAACCACATTTTCCTTATTTAAATGTGCTAATATCAAAATTTCATTAAGTTTTTTTTTTAGTTGGATTGACATATTGGATTGATATACTTTTTTTTTTAGTTGGATTGACATATTGGATTGATATACTTTTAGGTACTTAATATTATAATAATGATTTTGAAAACATGTAGACTTCAAATTCCATAAACAAAAGAGACTGTGTTTTTTAAATTGCTGTTTGCCACTTTTTTATTGTCTCAAGGCTTATTACCAAATGCTTATTCAGGAAATGCTTTATTTCGATTTGGGAATTTATTTTTCAAATTTACGTGTCAACAGATTCCATTGCAGTGGCAAAAAAACTTTATTAATGTCAAAGCAAACAATAATACATGCTGCAAAATAAAAGTTTGACAACACTATAGAAGGAGTTGCAAAAATGATTTCATTAGCATATGATATTGATGAAACTTCTTAAACAGAAAAGAAGAAACAAACAGCACCAATCCTAATAACAACTTAAAAAAAGATCATGACCTATACATTTTAATGCATGAAATCAAATAGAAAATTTCTGTAACTGACACTTATGTCTATAAAGTGTAAATGTTAACATTTGCACCAGAACCATGGAAATGTTAAGAGATATCAAATTACTTAAAAATGCCTTATTATGCTTTTGCATTATGCTTAAAAATGCCTTATTATGCTTTATGGTTTTGGGCTAAAAATATTCCTTTTAAATTGTCTTACAAATATAGATGAACATGGTTTTCCAGTTTTTGTAAATATCTTTTTAATGATTATAAAAAAAAAAATATTTCTCTAATTTTGTTGTTTATGTCAGCCTGCATATTGTTTGTTCGTTTCCATATTTGTTATGTTTAGGTTGATTGATGAATCACTTTTCTTTACACAGACATCATCAGTATGTGTAACTTTTGTTTCCAAACCTTAAATTCTTATTAATATTTTATTGATTATGTCATGTTGTGCATGTAACATTGCAGTCAATACCTTTTAAAATGTCATTTGCTTTTAACTTTATATTTGTTATTAATGCTTATTGGTGATGCAATATGTGAATTGGTGAATGTAAATGTTAAAACTGAAGAATTGATTAAAAAGTTAAAAATTTAGTACTGGAAATTTTTGTAAACTAAAAGTCTTGATTTTCAATTGAAGAGCTTAGTGCTAAAAGTACCACAAAAAAAAAATGTTTTAAGAAAATCTTTTTTAATTAGAGATATAACACTTCAAAATAAGGATTTAAAATGATTTATAGGAGCACCTAAAAAACTATAAAAAAAAAAAAGGCAGAATAAAGTAGATTTTCTCTAAACATTTATTTTGTGACTTAAGTACTTTTAGCACTGAAATCTTTCAATGTAAAAAAAACAAAAAAACTTCTATTTTTTTGAAAAACAAACAGAAATAAATTCCTTAATGTTGTTATGGAAAAAAAACTATGAACATAGGTGTATATTTGGTTTCAGCTCAGAACCATATGTATACCTATATGGTTCTGAGCCAGAACTCTGTTCTGACCGCTATTTCTGTCACAATTTCTGGCTCAAAACCAGGATGTCCAAGGTTCAATTGCAGTTCTGGCCAGATATTAGATATTGTTAAGAAAAGAAACACAAACTTCCTATTAAAGGCTTTTCTGCATTGCTTTATATTAAGACCTTAAAGACTTTTTAGAGCACCACAATAACCACAAAAAATATATATAAATGCTACCCAAAAAAAAAAAAAAAATTCTCTAGCAGAATTTCAGTGGACCTATTTAGGCATTTTAAACTAACAATTTTCATCCTAAATTAAAAATCGTACTCAGTTTGTCTCAATTAATGGGTTTTTCAATCCACAAGTAAAGTTATTAAGTATGGTGTCCCACTTGGTTTTGTTCAGGGCCTTCACAGTTTTTAATATATATTAACAATCTGCCTCATTCTATAAATAATTTTATTGTTCATCTGGTCTGACTTTCTGTTCATTTCCTGACAGTACTATTCTTCTATAAATCACACTCGCAGCTTTGTAAAAAAGTTAATTCAGATATCCATCATTTGCGTCATTGGTTAAATAGTAACTGTATTTTTCTAAATATCAATAAAACTGAATTTATTATTTTTCACCCTGCAAAAAAAAAAGATTGATAATGATAATGTGAAAATTAGAATTAACAGTAAAAGATTTTTACCATCTAAATATATAAAATACCTCGGGGTATTTTTTGACAAAATCATGTACCATATCAACTAATTTAATTAAATAAAAAACTCTCACACGCCAATAGTATTTTGTTATTAATATGACACTATGTTTCCCAACATATCTCCTCCTATCAAAGTTATTGCTGCACTGTTTGGGATCAAAAAGGTAGTTTTCTATTAAATCATATAAATAGTTTACAACGCCATAAGAATTATGATATATTCTCCTTTAGGATCTAATATCCAAAATAGGTTTTCTGAATTTAAAGTTTTAAAATTTCAAGATTTTGTAAAGTATTATAATTGCATCTTTGCTGTTATTTTGTAATTGCACGTTACAGCAGTTTTAATGACATGACCAAATTCGATATCTTTTGAACATAGCACCTCTTGGTGAATAATGCAAAGAAAAACACAACCACTGTGCTTCCCAACCATTGCAGGTGCGCATTCAGTGCAAATACTGTCCAGTTTATCCCACTTCAGATTGTGACCATTAGTGTTTTGATTTTCAATACATGTTTCAAAAATATCAGATCCAGTGTTGAGGTTTGAAGCTGACAGAGGCCAAGAAGTTCTTGGACAACATCAGAGTTATTGATGACATATCTTATGTAAACATGTTGAGCCTTGTCAGTTAAATCATGACTTTCATCAATAGCTATTGAAAAGTACTTTGAAAGTGACTCTTCTCATTACTGTATTTCTGGAAAGGGCAATATTTTATGACAATTTCTTTATGCTCAAGTCTCCAGTGTTTTGAGCAAAAATTAATAGACATTCCTTTACAATTTCCCTGTCTAAAAAACTTTTTTTCTTTTGCACAAGAAGAGAAATTTGGAATAAAGTTTTTATCATTATTTTCATTTCTTACTGTTTTTTGACAAACAAATTTTGCTGAGATGCCAGTTGAGCTTTTTTTTGAGATACGAAACTTGTTCTGAGAGCAGATCCATAAGGATATTTAACATTGAATTCATTGTGTAATGATTCAAAATCCCTTTGCAGATTATATTTTTTCATGACAGCAATAGCTTCAAAACAGATCAGACATACAGGTTTTGAAGATTGAGATTGGATAAACAAAAATTTCTCTTCCCATTCATCTTTAAAAAAGCATCTTATTGGTTCTTTTTAATTTTCTTTTTTGTAATGATGAAACTCCTTTGCTAATTTATTGTGAAACAACAATTCAAACCTTAGTAAAATAATTTTGTAACGGCAAAAAAATCTTTTTTGAAACTAATACTGTAAATAATAACTAATTTAAAATCCTAAAGATCGTCATATCAAAGGTCAAGTCGCATTTTGAGTACATAAACAACTAAAGTATTGACGCAACTTTCGAATTTCTTTTTTAAAAACGTTATTCTGAAAATAATAAACGTTATGAAAACTCCTTTATTTATAAATAATCAGAAAACAAAAGAACTTTTTAATTATTTTGTTTAATATTCAATGAAAGAGTTTATTTAAATTAACTCTACTAATGCGATACAACCCATTATCACCAGTGGAGTTTAAATTTTAACCGTTATTCTCCTAAATATCTAAATTGTTTAACAGGCATTTAAAAAAGTCACTGGGGGTATTTTTTTGCCCGCGTGCAGAGGTTTGGCCACCACTAAAATTTACTATATTTTGTTTTTTACCATAGTTTTTATCATTAGTTATAACTTTTATTAAAGCCATCATATTAAAATTAATATTTATGTTTTTTTATTCATTACATTAATAGTATTTATTATATTATAAATTTTTATTATATTATTATAATTGCAATTGTTAATTTTATTTTTATTTATTAGTGTTTTATCTTTTTTTTTTTTTTTTTTTCCTCTCTTGTTTTTATGTTAGTTTTCTTTGATTTATTTTTTTTTTAATTTTTTTTTTCTTTATTTTTTATCATACTTTATTTATATATTTTTTAATATTCATTTTTTTTTTTTATTATATTTATATTATATATAAATAAATAAATATATATATATATATATATATATATATATATATATATATATATATATATATATATATATATATATATATATATATATACATACATGCATATATATATATATATATATATATATATATATATATATATATATATATATATATATATATATATATATATATATATATATATATATATATATAAATAAAGAGAGAGAGAGAGAGAGAGAGAGAGAGAGAGAGAGAGAGAGAAGAGAGAGAGTATTAAACATAGAATATATAGATATTTGTATATTTTAAAATAGAATCTATATATAACAAAAAAAAAAATTTTAATGTGAATAATATTACTTTCTTTAACTACTCCACACACCATGCCTTGCTCGCTAGATATAGCATCAGATTTTGAGACAGTCCCATATTTCATCCAACAAGTTCCTCCATTATAGCTGCTCCAAGAAAAATGAGTACACTCAGATGTGGAATAGCATCTGCCCCCACACTCATGTGATTCTATTGTTACATTAGCCAAATCTTGTTCAGGGAAGTCGCAATTAAAAGCCCAGTTGCCATTCCATTCAATAGTTTCTAAGGAAGAAAGACAATAAAAAATCTAATGATGAAAATACAAAAATTAAAAAAAAATGACAAGTAGCACAAAAAGTAGGGTGAGGCAAATCTAAAAGTTTTTCTATAATGAGCTGTTCCTAAGGCAAAATGTGACACTGAACTCAAATCTTCAGCCTGCGACAGGAATTTCAGTTAAAAATTGGCTTTTTTTTAAAAAATAGCTGCAAAATTAGTAAAAAAAATATTTATTAGGTACTAGATCCAAATATTACAGCAATTTATACATTAAATAGAGTTTTAGGTCACAAACTTGTGTTTCCTATTTATTAAAAAAAAGTATTGGCGAAATAAGTGGGAAATGTTTAAAACTTAGTAAATAATTGATAAGGTAGACCTGCACCTTTGCCTGCATATACTTGACCACTAAAGTGAACAGCAGCACGTACAGTCTGGTATAAATAACCTATCTACATGAAAGAATGAAGTGCCTACATGACCAGCAGCATGTTCATTTTGCAATATAACACAAATAGTTCAGTCAAAACAAGAAGCGATACCATAACCCGTGGGGGTAGTGAACCAAGAAGATTCGACATTCATCAGTAAATTCAAGTTGCAAAGTGGTGCACATTTAATCGGATGATACAGGTGTGTCCAGTCTAGGAGATATGTTTCCTAAAGATTCTGGTAAGAACTAGTTTTAATATAGTTATATAAATATTTGGACAAATGTAAAATAAGATTCACAACCCAGTGTTTATGTAACCACAAAATCAATGACAAATTTGGTATCATTGTAGAAACTGCTAACATCATCTTTGGTCAGAAATAAACAATCTATTCAAATTGGTTAGATAAAGAATTGAGTGATTCTAAGTCAGACTTGGATGAACCGGAAAAGAGCAAAGTTCCTAAAAACCAGAAAAGATGTCACTTTTCTAGAGATCTCACCTATGTTTTCACCTCAGCAGGGATAGATGTTTGAACTCATGTTACCTCAATCTCCAAATGGTGGCAAATTATCTTTTGAATAAAGACGCTAGTGATGTTACTATTTGCTTGGAGAACACGACCAAAGCTGCCAGCAATAAGTTGTACAATATCAGGGCGAACCACATATCAATTAGTGGTCCAGACATAGAGCAGAGAACATTGACCACGAGCTATATTGATCAGGGATGCGGAGTCCCAAAAGGACTCCAGCCTTATCTCTACTTTTTCCAATTCTGTAGTGTCCAGAAGCTTTAAACATGTTTGTTGACTTATGATTTTCTATAAGAAAAAAAAATTCATGAGATTTAATGACTTGAAACTTATTGTTTTTATGCTTGGAGTCCTGGAGTCTTGGAGTCCTTGCTGCCATTATACCTAAGGACTCCTGGTTCAAAAAATGATTGTTCCTCTAACCTAAAAATCTTAATTTTTTTTCTAATTAGTAGTCCATAAACTTATTTATATTTTTAGAGCTCTTGGATAACAAAACCTAGAATAAAACAAATCTTTTTGTGATTTTCAAATCCGGATCCCTTTTTGGGACTCCGCATCCCTGATTTTTAAAATACTTCTTATTTAGAATATGAGGGTAGCCTACAAATTTAAGCTGAAGTCTTACGGTGTTGGTCTTACAGTGTTGGTGGACTCTACTATGGATGAAATGAAAGCTGCTATAAATTTTTGGCTGTCAGACCGTTCCAGAAATTGCAGCATATTGTTAAAAAACCTAGGTGTTAAGGACAAAAAAAAATTTAAATCTTGCATGTATTTAATACTGGGCATCAATAATGCTATTGATAAGAAAACTTGCGACACCAGAGATAAGGAGTTCAGAAACTGCTGGACATATCAGCTGGACAGAAAATATTTATGTCTCTGTCAACTTTAATACACACTCTTGGACAAATTGCCAAAGCCAATTTACTCTGGCTAAGTCATGCTAGTCACTTTGTACACTTATACACAGAATATATAGACTGGATGGATCTTCAAAATATAGAACATTCAGTATTGAGGATTCAGAGGTTTTTTTTTTAATGACTTTGGGCGCATTTCTGAAATAGCGAAAGAGTTTGTAACCAAGAGACAATCATTCTAAAACTTTATTTGAAGTGACTGAGGGCAAATCAGTTTATATACAGAACAATTGGTTCATTCTCTGTTCAGAAGTGTCGAATTAGAAAAGATGATTATTTTAAAAGAAGCTAGAACTCTCTCGAGTCAAAATCCAGACTTTAATGACATATAAAAAGACTCTGATCTTGAAAAGGAGAGAACAGATGACAAAATTGAGCTCACTCCACTGAAAAATTTCAGATCTGAGGCATAATTTGCATAGCTGGACAATCGCAAAAAAAAAATATGTAATGGAACTACATGCCTATTTGCTGAACCAAAATTTTATAGAATTACCTGGAAGGGAGAAAAAAAAAGTTAGAAATGGACAAGAACTTTCTGCAAAGTAGGACATGTCAGGAAGCTAGAAGCTGAATTTTTAGCTTCTGTAAAACAGGCTCGCCAATTAGCTGTGATTAAACATTAAAAAATGAAGATAAAACAACGCACAAAAAACATAATGGTCCCATAACTCCAAAAACTGTTGTTATTTTGGACTTGCTCAACAAAAAACAGCTGATTAATCAAATTTCGTACCTATGCCTTACATACTTATTATACTTATGCCTATATATAGATTGAAATCAAACAGTGACAAGGAATAAAACTTGATTGTGGAAAATTGATGAACTTTACAATTGACGAACTAAGATGTTCCATTTGTAACGCAATAAAACCAGAAAATAAACTATCGTTCTAACCTAAATTGTCATGCAAGCTGCAATTTCTTTCCAGTATGAAATTCTGCATCAAATTTTGCCTCAGAAAACACTTGAACTTTTTGAAAAAATTTATTATTTGCCATACCCTAACAAAAGTATACTTCATTATCAAAAATACTGTATTAGATGTGATAAAATATTGTATTACATGTGATAAATACTAATGTTTATTGACACTTTATGTCATAAATCAGGAAAGTAAATTCTAAAAAATAGATTTTGTAAAATAGATTTTTCATTATAAAACAGTCATTTTCATTACCTGGAACTAAAGCATAACTAGTATATCTTAGTAAAAGTATAATTAATTATTCCAACAAAGTTGAAAAATATAAGAGCAAATTTAGATTAACATGGTGGGCAGTTATGGCAATGACTTTAATGATAATGCATTTGGAAAGGTTAAGGTATCCAGGGGTGTACACTCGGACTTTTGGTCAGTCGCCAGAAGGGCAACTCAAACTAACCATTTGTTAATTTTGATCGCCCACCGACATTTTGAGTTGCCCGTTGCCATTTTTTTAAAAAAATTTCCACTTAGCGAAGTTATCGCATGTTTTAGTCATTTTTTGTTATACGGCTAAATGTGCACTAGAAGTAATATGCGTAAATAAAAGTAATATTGAAAACTATTGCTAAAATTCACTTTTCTACTTTCAATAAAAAACACATGCCATTATATTTTTAAAATTTATTTGAGCGCTCATTTTATAAAAAAATAGACGTTCGATTTCAACAAAAAACTCTTGACAAATATAAAAAACAATTTACAAATACTTTAAAACCCTTTGCTTTTAATGTGTTGTAATTATTACGATCTTATTTGTTACAAGAAAAACTATTTATATTTTGAAAGGTAAAAAACATTCAAGATTCAAATTTATTATATATCGTCATCAATTGTTACAGCTCTATCACTTTCATCATAGCTACTAGCAAAAATCTGTATTTTCTTTGACTTTTTAACTGACACAACTGGAGTTTTGTTGTCCATGTAAAGCTTTTTTGATTGATGCTAGTTTTATTTTTTTGTGATTAAAGCCAGTGTTTAATGGCTTTTAAATCCATTAAACCATGGCTTTAAAAGCCAGTGTTTAATGGCTTTTGTTGAATTGTATAATTCCATTTCTGGAACCATCAATCTTGATGCGCAATCGCATAGTTAATAACTTGTTACTGACTTGTGTTCTTTGAATTGATTTAATGTTTTTCATTGCGCTAAAGCCTTTTTCCGCGTCTGGAGAACTTAAGCTATGGCAAAATAAAAATCAATCAGAGAAAAAAGATTAGCGAATCTATCTGGTTTGATATTAGTCACTATTTGTGACCAAGATAGCGGTGGAAATGATTTTGAACTTGCACTTGTCCAAGTTGCCATTATTTTCTTCAATATTATCCACTCTGATAAAATATTTCCAACATCTACTCGTTTATATTCGAGTTGTTGACGCAGCATATCGTCGTCAATAAGGGCTTTTATGTTATTGTCTAGCATGTTTTTATGTAACTTTTTGTTGTTTCCAGCTGTGAAAAAGTTGCTCACCGTCCATTCAACTGTGTTAAGCAACTTATCTGCCCCCGCAAAGACATCTGATCCATTTGAACATCGTTTCAAAATGCACTTTTTCATGGATGTAGCGATATAAACTCGATCTTCATATTTTATCACTTCATGCAAATTTACAATCCCATATATAGAGCACTTCTTCCAGTAAAAACCAGATTTTCTTTGAATCTTTCTAAATTGCAAACGGCATGGTTGAGCGAAGACTTAACTTCATACGTTGAAACATTTTTAGTGTTAACCTTTAAATAAAAACATAAACAATATCATTTTTGGTATATTCTTAAATTTCTAAGTAAACAATTTATTATTTGTTACATTAACGTTTTAATTTGAAAAGCAATAGTGTATTTTTATTAAATACTATATAGTTAAGTTATATATGTAATTAAATATTTGATTTTAGTAGTTAATTCAATATATAATTTACAGCGACAAATTATGTATTTTATCAATATACAAATAATAATAATTTTTATATTTTATTTTGAAAAATTAAATTTTAATCAATAAACGTTTAGGAAATATTAATTTAGAAAAAGTTTTTAATTCTGAAAAAACTCTAAGTATGAGAGCAACAAAATATAATTATAAAATTCGAATGAATTTGTTCTTTCAAGAAA